TTTTGTTCTTCAGTTCCCATAACAAGCTTTGGTGCATCTGGATAGGATGCTTTCTATGGTTCACCTATAAAAATTGGTAAGAGTCATTGTGGACAAGTCGAGTTTCCTTAGCCTTCTGAGGAGGTAGAGGAATCAGTGTGCTTTCTTAACTGTAGCATCAATGTGGCTGGCCCAGTTTGATCATTGGTAATATTTACTCCTAGGAACTTGAAGTTCTCAGCCACCTCCACCTTAGCACCATTGGTACAGACAGGAATGTGTCCTCCACTCTACTTCTTGAAGCCGATGACCAGCTCGTTCATTTTGCTGACATTGAGACAGAGATTGTTGTCTTTACACCACTAAGCTGTCTATCTCCTTTTTATACTCTGTCTCGTCGTTGATTGAGATCTGACCCACTGTGATGGTGTCGTCAGCAATTTTTAAATGGAGTTAGACTGAATTTGGCCACAGAGTTAGGAATGTAAAAGGAGTATAGTGAGGGGCTGAGTATGCAGCCTCGCAGGGCACCGGTGTTGAGGATTATTGTGGAGGAAGTGTTATCTCCTATTCTTATTGTTCGCAATATGTGGGTCAGGAAGTTGAGGATCCAATTGCAGAGTGGGGAGCAGAGTCCTGCGTCTCAGAGTCTGGAAATTCATTTTGTTGAAGTTATGATGTTGAGGGCGGCACTAGACTCAATAAATAGGAGTCTGACATAGGTGTCCTTGTTATCCAGATGTTACAAGCATAAGTATAGAGACTGGGAGATGACATCTGCCATGGACATATTGAGATGATAGGTGAATTGTAGCAGATCAAGACAGTCTGGAAGACTGGAGTTGGTGTGTGCCATTACTAACATCTTGAAGCACTTCATAATGATAGATGTCAGAGCCTGGGTGGTAGTCATCAAGGCACGTTGCCTGATTTTTTTTGGCACCGGGATAATAATGGAGTTCTTGAAGCGACAGAGAACTTCACCTCACAATAAAGAGAGGTTAAAGATGTCTGCAAATACTCCCACTAGCTGGTTCATGCAGGATCTGCATGGAAGGTTGGGGACTCCATCCAGGCCAGTCACTTTCCAAGGGTTCAACCTCAAGAAGTAGGACCCTGGGAAGGACCAAGCATCAGAAGGACCTTGGTGTGCATTTACACTGATCCCTTAAATGTATCAAAATGGGTAGATACAATGGTTAAGAACGCATATGGAATTCCTGCTGTTAGGTGCTGAGGCATAGAATTTAAGAGCAGGGAGGTTATGCTGGAACTGTAGAAAACAATGGTTAGGCCATTGCTAGAGTATTGTTCTGAGTTCGAGAATCTAGAGTTCTGGAATTGACATTATAGGAGAGATGTGATAACACTGGAGAGGGTGCAGAGCAGATTTATCAGGATGCTACCTGGACTGGAGAGTTTCATTTGTGAAGAGAGATTGGACAAACTGGGGTTGTTCTCCTTAGAGCAGAGGAGGTTGAGACAGTACATGATTGAGATGTATAAAATTATGGTGAGCATAGATAGGGTAGACAGGAAGAAACTTTTCACCTTGATAGAATGATCAATGTCTAGGGAGCATAGGTATAGGGTATGGGGCAGAAGGTTTAGAGGAGATTGGAGGGTAAACATTTTCACCCAGAGGGTGATGGGAATCTGGAATCCACTACCTAAGAAGGGCAGTAGCGGCAGAAACTCTCATATCTTTTGCAAAGCACTTAGATGTGCACTTGGTATGCCAAGGCATACAAGCCTATGGACCAATTGTTGGAAAATGCGTTTAGAATAGTTAGGTGGGAAGGGTCTAGGCCCGAAACGTCAGCCTTCCTGCTCCTCTGATGCTGCTTGGCCCGCTGTGTTCATCCAGCTCTACACCTTGTTATCTTAGAATAGTTAGGTGGTTGTTTTTGACCGGCACGCATGTAGTGGGATGAAGGGCCTTTTTATATGCTGTAGATCTCTGTGACTATGACTCTAAAATATGTACATCTCTGTTAAATAATATGAAAGAAAAGCTGAAAACTGTTATTGCAATATTAGACTTTACAAAATAGACTCAGATACATAATACAAGGCATTCAATACTGAATTCATAGAATAAATGATGCCTTTTTGTCCAAGTGGTCCTTCATAGGTTAGATTTCTTTGGCTCCCCAAGTCAAATTGACTGATAATTATCACAACTGCAATCACAGCAAGTAAGGCATCAAGCTGAAATGAATAATGGCATTTCAGAAAGACTCTTGCAAAGATATCCATGGACCCATCGAGGGTTTCTGCATCTTCAGGACAGGGAGAAATGTTGGTCAAAATTCTCAGACAGCGAAACACAACTTGGTACAGTGTTGAAGCTAGTAAAAGGCTATCATCTGTATCCAATCTTCAGTATGATCTATTTATCACAATGATATAAAGAGCAAATGTTATCTGTGTGTGTGTGTATGTGTGAGTGTGTGTGCAAAGATTAAATGTTTGAATTAAGGTGTTGTTGTAATATCTGTGCATCACTATGTTCACATGATCACTGGACAATAACAACAGAAACGAGCACAAGTTTTGTGGAGTTAATTGATAATCTAAATAAATCTAATTTTCTACAAGTTTTTAAAAGCAATGTGTTGTAATCGTCCTTGTGTGAATTGGAAGTCTGTGACCTATATTTTGTCATGTTGGAGAGCCTTTCTGTCATGGTAAAAATGGTAGAAGTTGCTGGTTATCCTAAGTCATGTCCATAAAGCACCATTTTGATTTTCAGTGAGTGGAGTTCAGGATAGTATGTGTTTCATGGATGAGCAGTTTGTGGACCTGACCATTTAAATTATCCTTTAGTCAAATCATATTTTGGAACTCCCGTTAAGAGCAAACCATTAGTGTACCTTTTAGGAAACCCAAGATAGACCTTTACAGATCTCAGGTATCCATATGAATATGCTCCTAGGGGACCTTGGGATTAGGGGTCAGAATCCTTTGGGGGATGGAGGTCAGGTACCCTTTAGGCTTGTTAGCAATAGGGAAGATTTTGAGTAAAAAATTGTATAAAGCCCTTAGTATGGTCAAACCTGTCAAAGCCACTTAATAAGCATCAAACCTGTCAAAAACTAAGTGTCAGACTCTTCAAGACCTGTCAAGAAGTGGCAAACCTTTCAAGATAAGTCAAACCTGCCAAGACCCATAAAGCCATATCAAACCTAACATCACCTGTCAAGAAGGGTCAGTGTTATTCAAGATGTGTCAAATAGTGATAAAATTGTCAAGAGTTGTTGAGAATTATCATACTTTTCAAAACTTGTCAAAATATGTCAAACATCAAGACATGCCAATAAAGGTCAAAGATTTCAAGGTGTGTCAGTTGTGTCAAGTGACAGTCATGACAGGATTTTCGTGATCTGTCTAGAAGTGTCATAACCTATCACAAAGTGCCAAATCTGTTATATGTCACATTTGTCAAGACCTGCCAATGACTTTCTAACTTGTCAAGAACTTGCCAGAAATGTCAAACGTGTCAAGAAGGGACAATTGTTAAGAAAAAAACGTTGTTAAGAGCTGTCAAGGTTATGACAATACAAAAATAGAAGTAGATCTACATCATTCTTCCCATCATGTCTGCCTTGTAATTCAGTATTTGTGTTTCAAATTCACATTCGGATATACCGCAGTAACCTCAGATTCTGTTTGGCCAAGGAATCAATCACCCGCCTTAAAAATAGTGACTCAGCTTCCACCACTTTCTGAAATTGTGAGATCCAAACTCTCTCAATTGTCTGAAAAATTCCTTATCTCTGTCTTAAATGTATAACCATTAATTTTAAAACAATGCTCACTTGATCTGGACTCATCTACAAGCAGTAACATCCTTTCCATGTCCATCCTGTTGGATCCAGTCAGGATATATATTTCAGTGTAATCACCCTCACTTGTCTAAATTACAGTGGAAAAAACCCAGCTGTCCACCTATCCTCATAAGACAGACCACTAATTCCTGGTATATACCTAGG